TATACAGGGTTCCTACTCAAATTTTTGTTTTGAATTCCCTGACTTTCCCTGACCAACTTTGTCCAAATTCCCTGACCCTCACATTTTTTAGTGTGGAATATCGACATAATAAAACAGCATTTTATTTACTGTAAACATTGAATACATCTATCCCTCTTTTTGCACAGTTGATATGTTTCAAAGACTGCCACATTAAAAAAACACAGTATATACATCCTGTAGAAAAATGTTTGATAGAATCCACAACTTCAATGTAATGAAAAAATAAGCAATTTACAAACAAAACATGAGCTTTTTATTTTATCATCATTTATCATTATTATTTATATATTTAATAACTCATTGTTTTAGCTTAATGTATAAATTAAGCCAGCAAAGCAAAAGATGTTTTTAGGTATTTTCCAGGGTACCAAGTTTCAATATTTGTCTATTTTTTTTGCAAAATTTGATTAGTTTGCCCTTTGCCATTTTATATCCAGCTATGAATAGTATATTACACTTAACATTATCAAAAATTTAGGCATCTTGAATTATATTCTTGTTCAGGTAGAAATCAACAACTGTTTTCTGTTGTTGAAAAAGATCAATTCCTCTCTACCTGACCAATGAAATTGTTCCATTCTGAACCATCCAATTATCACACTTAACAAGTACAAAACATGTACTGTACTTGGAATTTTCCAGGATGCTGAACATGAATCTTTGATTCATTTGTCTCAAAATCTGATTGTTCATTTTGTTTTGTTAAATGAATTTAAATAAGGTTAATTTTTGCTTTTTTTTTCTTTTTATAATTTATTTAATATTTTGTGATAAACATGACAATGTTAGGCTAAAGTAACCAAACTCTTATTATGATTTTAATTATAATGTATTATGATCTTATGTCTGGACAGTGCTGGGCATATTATCTGCTAGTAATACTATAAATATTTCCATACAGATTTTAATATTTGAAGTATTTAAAATTTGAGAACTTCAATTCTTGTGTGTTTATTTTTAATTTCAGAATATCTGATAGAGGTGGTGGAATTCCACATCATCTTTTGCCTCATGTTATGGAATATCATTTCACTACTGCGGGTACAAGTACCGATCATCGTATTGATGGGGGTATATTTGGTTCAATGATGGTTGAACCATCAGAAGGACCAGCTGCCGGTCCAATGCATGGGTAAATGTTTTTATACTGTTAAAATCTAAAAAATTTTTGCAGTTATATTTTATTGTAACTTTTTTCTTCAGATTTGGATTTGGTCTTCCAACATCTCGAGCATATGCAGATTATCTTGGTGGTAGTCTCACTATAGAAACAATGCAAGGTATTGGCACTGATGTTTATCTTCGTCTTAGACATATTGATGGCAAGTACGAAAGTTTCAGAATTTAACGCAATATGCAATGCTATGAGATTTTAATATTAATATTAAGGTTGTCCATATCAGTTTATTACGGTACCTTGAATATTTTAATATTGCACAGCTATTTATGAGTAGGAGCATTTATTTGTAAGTTTTTTTTTAACAACTGCCTGGAATCTCAACTGTATCAGTTTCTGAGTTTGACACAATGTGTCAAGTATGTGTTTGTTAAAGCATCTCAGCATTTGTGCTGTTTTTTTATATTTGAAACTGCCAATCTCGGTTCTCCATTGCAACTGTTCTTCCATCTACTGATAAAAATCTGGATGGAATTAAAATTTTGTAAATTAAGAATTTTTATATTTAATTTATCTAAAAATTATAATATACTAATTTTATTATTTTGCATTTAAATAAAATGCAAATCCTCAATTGGACAATGAATCTCTACAATAATACTAGATTTGTCATTGTGTCAGTTCAGATGTGTAATGGTATATTTAAACAAAATGGCACCATACAAAATATCGCATACCACTTTTTTAAAAATTTTAGATAAGTGAAGTGCAAGATGTTCCTGCATCTTACATTTTACCATGTGATAATCTTAGATCTGAAACCATTTGTGAACTTGTGCTTTTGTAATCTCACTTTTTTATGTACAAAATATTTAGTATTATACAATATATATCAGCAGTTTCATTTATCATGTAAAGTTTGAAATAAAAATATTCTGTATTTAAACTGAGTTTTGAAATGTGTGTAATTTATTTCATACCAAATTTCTCATTTACCAAAAATGTTTCAAACCTAGAATTTCTTACAATTGAAGTAAAGAGTTGTGATAAAAGTTTTCTTCTGATTGCATCATATCTTTGCATGAATTGTAATGCAACTGAAACATAGTATATGATGGAATCCAACAGTACTAATTTTGAGGCATTAGTATTATTATAATACAATATCTTGTAATAATTCATTAATATTTGTTGTGATCATAACTACATTTAGTAAAAAAATTTTATAAAACCTAGCAATTGTCTTATTTGTATTATTATTTTTTATATATGTAAAGTATTAAATTGTGTGGATAGTGTCACGACAATCGAGCGTTCAAAACAGTCGTGTGGGCGTGAAAAGACTCGCGGAGACAGGTTTACCGTTTAAAACCGTTTAATAGATATATAAATTTTCTTACAACTATTCTTATAATGAGGCGTAATGCCTATCCAAAGGTGGGAAACAAGTCCGTTCAAAAAGTCCAAATGTTCCGACGATCGTTTCGTTTCTTCCGGCTAAGATGATATGGAGAGCGACGGCCCCGGGGCGCACAGCACAACTTGCAGAGATGACTTCCGCGGGATAGCGAAAACGAATCCCGGGACGTTGACAAGCCTTCGTTGTTGAAGGAGAGGAGCACTATGAACCATTTTCATTGGTCCCGACTCGTCACCTGGTGACAATTCGAAACCGATTGGAGGGTGCGGGAGAGGTCAGTTTCGCGACTAAATACGATTCCTCTCCAGCCATATTTCCCTCGACTTTGGTCTTTTCTATTGTTTAAATAATTTACAAAAAAAAAAAAAAAAACTTTCTTTGTTTAATTGAGATCTTTAATTTCTCCTTTTCGAGTTGTAAAAGGAGATTTTAATTTCTCGATTGATAGTCTCCATTCGGACCTCTACGTTGACTTCCTTCCGGGTCCTCACAAAATACACGAACGGGATGATAGAATGCATTTAAATAATTTTAACTTTTTCCGCCTTGCCGGGTGGTGGTGGTCAGGGCTGGACGTATCTAGACCGACCTAAAAAAATCCGGTCCGGATTCTGTTAATTCTTATAGTTTAAATGAAAAAATATTAAGAAATTGAGTTGCAAATTTAATCCGTTTATTTTCATTTGAATTCTACAGAAAATATAAAATGTGAAAAATTACAAATATAAGTTTATTGATACATTTATAATAATCATTGATTTCATTTAACAGAATAAAATATTGTTTAAGTTGCTATTACATTAACATTGATGTAACAAAATATTAAGTTACGGTAACAAAGTAACAGTATCATTTGCAGTAATTGTAGGCGATGTAGTAGTAGTAGTAGTAGTAGTTGTTGTTGTTGTTACTTCAGCGCAATTTGTACATCTGCATGTTCTATTTGCAAAACCTCTATTGTCGATGCATATTCCACACTGCTGATCATGATGATTAAAGCAATGATTGTTGCATAGTTCTGGCCTCGAAGGACAACCGTACGAGCTAAATAATTCTTGAAATCTAGGAGGAGGACGAGGCCGGAGAAACCTAAAAGATTCTAAAGAGGAACAAGATAAAAATTTGAAAATTCTTCATAATAAAATATAAATATGAATTAATGTTAGTTAAAAATTACCTGTATAGCAAATAAACACCAGAAANCACTAATTTTAATTAATATATATATATATATATAGATTGGCTATCATTTGAATATTTTAAATAGTGTTGTGACAAAACAAGTCTTACACATTGCTATCTGATCTGGTTCATCTGTCTTTTAATATTATTATTCAAGGTTTGTGTTTTTCTACATTCTTAAATTATAATATCATGGAAACAAATGAGGTTTAATCTCCAATGGCTGGATCCAGCTATTCATTCAGAATTCAATTCCTGGTTAGGAACTGTAAAAGATGATGATACAAAAGCATTTTGTTGCATTTGTTGTACTTTTCTCATTAAGTAATATGGGGAAAGTGTGCATTAGTATCACATGCAAATAGTTCTAGTCATGTTGAAATACAAAGATTGAAGTTGGAACAAACTTCACTGATAAGGTTTTTAACCCCAACAAATTCAACTCTTCTAATAGTCAACAAAATGTGTGTGAAACAGCTTCTGTTGTGGAAGATAGATCTAAGATCACTAATGAACAGTCTCACCAAATCAACATTTCTTAGCAACACATTGACACCTTTTGTGATAAAAGATAATGTAATAAAAGCAGAGATAACTTGGGCATTGGAAGTTGTAAAGAAAAAGATGTCACTCAATTCGTGCTCTGATATTAAAAACATTTTCAAAAAAATGTTTCCAGATAGTGCTATAGCCACATAATTTCAATTGGGTCCAGATAAAGCCTCATATATAATAAATTTGGCTTAGCCCATTATTTCAGAAAAATTGATTGAGTCTGTTACAAGTTGTGATAATAATACTATCTCCTTTGACAAATCACTAAACAAAGTTGCTCAAAGAACTCAAATGAATCTTGTGATAAAATACTAGGACAAAAGTAAAGATAATGATTAATAAGATTATGACCAGATATTTAAATAGTGTCTTTCTGGATCATAGTACAACAGATGATCTCTCTGCATTTCTCAATGGCCTTTCAGACATTCATCTTGATGTAGCAAAAATTCTTCATATTTGTATGGATGGACCCAAATGTAAACATAAGTTTTCTGGATAAATTAAAAGATCACACGGAGACACAGAATGTTGGTAAATCATTTGTGAGAATGGGAACATGTGGTATACATGTAGTCCGTGGTGCTGTAAAAGCTGGTTTTAAAGTAGTAGATTGGAATTTGTAATATTTGCTAAAAGGCTCACCTATCAGCATGCTGAATACATTACTATAAATGGAAGCAGATTATTTCCCAAAAATTTTGGTTCAACAAGGTGGTTGGAGAATGGAGAGTGCTTAGAAAATGCAGAAGTTGTTGAATCTGTAAAGACATACATAAACAACAGTACAAAGTTTGAAGACAGCAAGGTAGCTACATTCTTGAGACAGGCACTCAATGATCCCTTTATTAAAGTTAAACTTTTATTTTTTTTATCAGTATGTACACAAAGTGAGAGCTTTCTCCAATTTCAGAGCAACAAACCTCTTGCACCCTATCTTTATAGAGCAGTTGTTCAATTATTAATGAGAAAGTTGTGAAAAATGACAGGGTCTATTTTTAGAAACTGCTTGTCGGTGAGACAAGCAGTTTCTAAAAATAGATTTAAATGCTAATGAAAACTTGGTACATTTGAAAGAATTTGGATATTGGTTTTGGAGCAAACAAGGTTTTTAAAAGAATTGAAAGTAAGCGACAAAGATTTTGTGTTTTTTAAGAGATTGTCGAAATGTACTGAAAGTGATGACACAAAGGATTATTGAGAAGCAACCTGTCAGGTACAAATGTGTGAAGGCTTTGAGCAGCTTAGACCCAGAAATTATTAAAATGCAATCAAATGTTGGAAAATTGTATTTCAATGTTTTACTGGAGGTTCTACATTATACAAACAGGATTGATGAGAAATATAATGTCAAAGCAAAAGAACAGTATGAAATACTCTGCAATAAAGTGTCCATAAAATCCTATTCTACAAAGTTTGAGGACTTCATATCTGAAAGGAGTGATGATGATGATCTGGGCACATTTTATTGGGAAATTATGAAGGATGATAGGCAACTGCAAGATCTATGGTCTATTATCAAAATTTCTCTTTCTTTCTCACATGGGAATGCAAATGTTGAGAGTGGTTTCTCGGTTAACAAATCACTGTTGAGTGAAAATCTTAAGGAAGAAAGTTTAATTGTTCAATGCTTAGTTTATGATAGGATCCATTTTGCAGGTGGTATTGATCAAATATAAACTAGAAAATGTTGTTAAGAGTCAGAGGATCTAGACAGTGATATATTGTATCTCTGCAACAGAAAAAGAGATATTCAGAAGCAGCAGGCATTGAACACTGAAGAAAAAAGAAACTTACGCAACAACTTAAGAAAATATCACGAAAAGGAAGAAAAAGAGGTTGAAATGAAAATAAATACACTTGAAGAAAAAAAGCTAAAACTACATTAATATAATAGTTTTTATGTTTTGTGAATTGTATATAATTTTTTATTTTCTAATTATCTATATTTTGAAAAAAAAAAGAGAATTAATACTAAGTTTCTCTGTATTTTGATTGTCCATTTTTTATAAAAACAAAAAGATTTTAAAATAAATTAGATGCATTTGTTAGAGAAGCTATAGTATAAACTTGCACCTATTCCTCTTTATACACAATCTATTTTTATGCAATTTTGAAATAATTTTTTTTTACTTGATCAATTTTTTACAAGGGAAAAAATGCTTTAAAAAATTTTTAAATTTAACTTTTTTAAAATTATGTTGCTGTCTAAAAAACAGCTACTCTTTTGTTGAAAGATTGGTTTTAAAATTACGTGTTTTGAAATCAAGAGTTCATTTTAAGTACAGTACAGTACTGTACTGTTTGTTGATTTTATGCAGTTATTTATTACTTCTGATTCCGATAACCATTTTTAAATGGTTATCGGAATCAGAAGTAATAAATAACTGTAAATTGGAACAAAATATGCTATAATAATTGCACAAAAGCAACAGCTTTGGCAACTAAATTATGTTGAAATGAAGGAAGAGGAATTAATAATAAATCCTATTAATGCTGAGATCTAAACTCCCCATTGAAAATGATTAATTTTAGTTAAAACACCATATCTGATAGTAATTTTTCTTTCTTGCAAGTTTTTCTGAGCAAATAGTTTTCTAGGAATCATGATAATACAGATTGATTGCCCATCTTAAGAAATTTTCCTATTTGAATGCCACTATCCTGCTGGTCAGATAGAGAGGAGGACTTGTAGTGGGCAGTAGGTTGAAGTTAATTTGATCAAAAGATGTCATTGACCACCTCATGGATGATGAAGTTAACAAAATCTAGCTTCTTGTTCAATTAGCCAAAATTATGAAACTATTTTATAATATAATTCCATGAAAATATAAATTGCTTAATTAAATAAGAAAAAATTTACAGAAAAACAATATAACTATATCATCTTAATGCTACAGAAGTATTTGGTGGATATTCATTTTAAAAAAAATAATTAAAAATTTTTCAAGTTTTACTTTTCAAATCATGTTTTATTCCCAATCAAAGGTATATAGTTTTGTATGAATATAAGTTTTTTATATATATAATAGAATCTACTTATTGTAATCAATTTGGAATCTGCCTCTATTTATGATGATATTTTATTTAATATTAGTTGATGGACAAATGAATAAGACTACAATTAAAAATATGGTTTTATTGACTACAGGGTTCCTACTCAAATTTTTGTTTTGAATTCCCTGACTTTCTCTGACCAACTTCGTACAAATTCTGACCCTCACATTTCTTATGGTGTGGAATATCGACATAATAAAACAGCATTTTATTTACTGTAAACATTGAATACATCTATCCCTCTTTTTGCACAGTTGATATGTTTCAAAGACTGCCACATTAAAAAAACACAGTATATACATCCTGTAGAAAAATGTTTGATAGAATCCACAACTTCAATGTAATGAAAAAATAAGCAATTTACAAACAAAACATGAGCTTTTTATTTTATCATCATTTATCATTATTATTTATATATTTAATAACTCATTGTTTTAGCTTAATGTATAAATTAAGCCAGCAAAGCAAAAGATGTTTTTAGGTATTTTCCAGGGTACCAAGTTTCAATATTTGTCTATTTTTTTTGCAAAATTTGATTAGTTTGCCCTTTGCCATTTTATATCCAGCTATGAATAGTATATTACACTTAACATTATCAAAAATTTAGGCATCTTGAATTATATTCTTGTTCAGGTAGAAATCAACAACTGTTTTCTGTTGTTGAAAAAGATCAATTCCTCTCTACCTGACCAATGAAATTGTTCCATTCTGAACCATCCAATTATCACACTTAACAAGTACAAAACATGTACTGTACTTGGAATTTTCCAGGATGCTGAACATGAATCTTTGATTCATTTGTCTCAAAATCTGATTGTTCATTTTGTTTTGTTAAATGAATTTAAATAAGGTTAATTTTTGCTTTTTTTTTCTTTTTATAATTTATTTAATATTTTGTGATAAACATGACAATGTTAGGCTAAAGTAACCAAACTCTTATTATGATTTTAATTATAATGTATTATGATCTTATGTCTGGACAGTGCTGGGCATATTATCTGCTAGTAATACTATAAATATTTCCATACAGATTTTAATATTTGAAGTATTTAAAATTTGAGAACTTCAATTCTTGTGTGTTTATTTTTAATTTCAGAATATCTGATAGAGGTGGTGGAATTCCACATCATCTTTTGCCTCATGTTATGGAATATCATTTCACTACTGCGGGTACAAGTACCGATCATCGTATTGATGGGGGTATATTTGGTTCAATGATGGTTGAACCATCAGAAGGACCAGCTGCCGGTCCAATGCATGGGTAAATGTTTTTATACTGTTAAAATCTAAAAAATTTTTGCAGTTATATTTTATTGTAACTTTTTTCTTCAGATTTGGATTTGGTCTTCCAACATCTCGAGCATATGCAGATTATCTTGGTGGTAGTCTCACTATAGAAACAATGCAAGGTATTGGCACTGATGTTTATCTTCGTCTTAGACATATTGATGGCAAGTACGAAAGTTTCAGAATTTAACGCAATATGCAATGCTATGAGATTTTAATATTAATATTAAGGTTGTCCATATCAGTTTATTACGGTACCTTGAATATTTTAATATTGCACAGCTATTTATGAGTAGGAGCATTTATTTGTAAGTTTTTTTTTAACAACTGCCTGGAATCTCAACTGTATCAGTTTCTGAGTTTGACACAATGTGTCAAGTATGTGTTTGTTAAAGCATCTCAGCATTTGTGCTGTTTTTTTATATTTGAAACTGCCAATCTCGGTTCTCCATTGCAACTGTTCTTCCATCTACTGATAAAAATCTGGATGGAATTAAAATTTTGTAAATTAAGAATTTTTATATTTAATTTATCTAAAAATTATAATATACTAATTTTATTATTTTGCATTTAAATAAAATGCAAATCCTCAATTGGACAATGAATCTCTACAATAATACTAGATTTGTCATTGTGTCAGTTCAGATGTGTAATGGTATATTTAAACAAAATGGCACCATACAAAATATCGCATACCACTTTTTTAAAAATTTTAGATAAGTGAAGTGCAAGATGTTCCTGCATCTTACATTTTACCATGTGATAATCTTAGATCTGAAACCATTTGTGAACTTGTGCTTTTGTAATCTCACTTTTTTATGTACAAAATATTTAGTATTATACAATATATATCAGCAGTTTCATTTATCATGTAAAGTTTGAAATAAAAATATTCTGTATTTAAACTGAGTTTTGAAATGTGTGTAATTTATTTCATACCAAATTTCTCATTTACCAAAAATGTTTCAAACCTAGAATTTCTTACAATTGAAGTAAAGAGTTGTGATAAAAGTTTTCTTCTGATTGCATCATATCTTTGCATGAATTGTAATGCAACTGAAACATAGTATATGATGGAATCCAACAGTACTAATTTTGAGGCATTAGTATTATTATAATACAATATCTTGTAATAATTCATTAATATTTGTTGTGATCATAACTACATTTAGTAAAAAAATTTTATAAAACCTAGCAATTGTCTTATTTGTATTATTATTTTTTATATATGTAAAGTATTAAATTGTGTGGATAGTGTCACGACAATCGAGCGTTCAAAACAGTCGTGTGGGCGTGAAAAGACTCGCGGAGACAGGTTTACCGTTTAAAACCGTTTAATAGATATATAAATTTTCTTACAACTATTCTTATAATGAGGCGTAATGCCTATCCAAAGGTGGGAAACAAGTCCGTTCAAAAAGTCCAAATGTTCCGACGATCGTTTCGTTTCTTCCGGCTAAGATGATATGGAGAGCGACGGCCCCGGGGCGCACAGCACAACTTGCAGAGATGACTTCCGCGGGATAGCGAAAACGAATCCCGGGACGTTGACAAGCCTTCGTTGTTGAAGGAGAGGAGCACTATGAACCATTTTCATTGGTCCCGACTCGTCACCTGGTGACAATTCGAAACCGATTGGAGGGTGCGGGAGAGGTCAGTTTCGCGACTAAATACGATTCCTCTCCAGCCATATTTCCCTCGACTTTGGTCTTTTCTATTGTTTAAATAATTTACAAAAAAAAAAAAAAACTTTCTTTGTTTAATTGAGATCTTTAATTTCTCCTTTTCGAGTTGTAAAAGGAGATTTTAATTTCTCGATTGATAGTCTCCATTCGGACCTCTACGTTGACTTCCTTCCGGGTCCTCACAAAATACACGAACGGGATGATAGAATGCATTTAAATAATTTTAACTTTTTCCGCCTTGCCGGGTGGTGGTGGTCAGGGCTGGACGTATCTAGACCGACCTAAAAAAATCCGGTCCGGATTCTGTTAATTCTTATAGTTTAAATGAAAAAATATTAAGAAATTGAGTTGCAAATTTAATCCGTTTATTTTCATTTGAATTCTACAGAAAATATAAAATGTGAAAAATTACAAATATAAGTTTATTGATACATTTATAATAATCATTGGTTTCATTTAACAGAATAAAATATTGTTTAAGTTGCTATTACATTAACATTGATGTAACAAAATATTAAGTTACGGTAACAAAGTAACAGTATCATTTGCAGTAATTGTAGGCGATGTAGTAGTAGTAGTAGTAGTAGTTGTTGTTGTTGTTACTTCAGCGCAATTTGTACATCTGCATGTTCTATTTGCAAAACCTCTATTGTCGATGCATATTCCACACTGCTGATCATGATGATTAAAGCAATGATTGTTGCATAGTTCTGGCCTCGAAGGACAACCGTACGAGCTAAATAATTCTTGAAATCTAGGAGGAGGACGAGGCCGGAGAAACCTAAAAGATTCTAAAGAGGAACAAGATAAAAATTTGAAAATTCTTCATAATAAAATATAAATATGAATTAATGTTAGTTAAAAATTACCTGTATAGCAAATAAACACCAGAAACAACAACGTGGCCAAATGGAAAGATTTCATTTTTACTCTGAAACAATAATTTATTAAATTAATTTATATTATTAATATTATAGCAATTCAATTAGCAGAATTCGGATATTTTAATAATTAGTTATTTAATATTTTTCTTATAATTTACATTATTTTGTCCTCTTAGATAATTTTCGATATAGTTAACATATGCTTAGTTGCTATGATATCTTATGTTTTCAAAGTTTATTCTCTGTTCATTAGAACAATAGAAAAAAAATTAGTAATGAGTTGCATAACTTTTTGGATAAAAGTTAAAATTGAATGTGGCACCATTCGTTATGAGACTATTTTAAAATGGCAGAAAGCTTAATTTTGAGGGTAGCAATGAGTTTTATATTTTAAAAAATTTTGTAAATACTAACAACGAATAAAAACTTCATTATATCCGATATGATACACGACGACCCCTTCTCTCCCCACCCTTTTGACCTTTATCCACCAAAATTTAATCGCATCAATGTATACAAACTTCCCTGCAAAATTTCAGAAATTTTCGACAAAAGGTACAGCAGTTATTAATAAGCTACTTTGAAGCTTAATGGATAAACAAAAACCACGCTTCCCCATAAATTACACATACACTAACATCCATACGTACAGAAAAAAATCATCGACATTTTTTGTTTTTCATTTCTCGATGTTTCTAGGTCCCAAGTCAAAAAATATATAAAAATCTTGGGACTCATTTTTCCGTTCGTTGGGACCGTCGTACTTTTTCTCTGTTATATACAACAGAGAAAATATAATTGACCAACCGAACTCTTCTTTTCCTTCATCTTTAACTGAAATCAGTCATTGTTTCAACTGATCCACTTCAACTTAGAGGTTTTTCTGGAAACGCTACTTTGGCGCTTGCAACGCTATTAGACGCGATCCTTCAAATATAAATTTAAAATGAACACAACGATGGATTAGCCTAATTCAAACAAACAATAGACGAATGTTTGTATGGATAATTTACACGTACAGTATATATATTTTAATTTTAAACTAAGACCCAATTTATAGGTAAATTATAATTATAAAACTATTCTGAAAAATTATTTTTTGTCAACTTTTAGATTTTTTTGTTTTTAAGCCTTTTGTCCTGAGGGTATTAAAAATAAGTATTTTCCAGACCCATCGTGAGTTCGGCCGTACCTATCCTGGAAACGGTCGGGTAATAAGGTCGTGACCCAACATCGCGACAGATGCACAAACAATTGACATATCTATGGGTTCGTGGAGAATTCTGGAAGTTTCCGACTAGTACACAACCCAGATCCTCCAGACAGAATGGCTGCGTTCAGCAGATTCTGGAGCTGTTGAGTATTTTTCTGCCAAACATCCTCTACAGTAGCGCTGTTTCAGAACATGTTTGGTGCTTTGACATCACATTTAGTAGTGTCTTTCATTTAAGCTATCTATGTCTAGCTGAAACTGACTAATAATGGCTGCTTCCTGTTCCAACGTAGCCTATACTCGTCGTTCGATGTAACAGCTACCGAGTGAAACATCTTTGCTCAGTTTGACTCTGCCGAACGCAGCCAATAACATTTCGGCTGTCTAGATGCAACTTTTCGATTATCAGTTATCGAAGGCAGTGGTGTAACTTCAAGTTAACGAGCCAAGAAGCAAACAGTTAAGAGTGAACCTCCCTATATCAAAAATCAATAAATTTTCTCGTTTGCTACAACCAGTGCCGATATAGAAAATTCGTTGTGGATTATCCGTGGATATATATAAGTTTAATGCTTGAAACGGCTAAACTCTTTACGCTTACGTTTCTAAATGGTAAATTAAAATCTTCCACAAAATTTTATATTACTATGTTAATCGAAAAAAGAAAAGTCCTATCAGCTAGATCCCGCAGCTCTCGAGCCTCCTTTGCCTCCCTTGTAGTTACGCATCTGATTGGAAGAGATTCAGACAAAAATATAAATCTTATAACGTCATGTGTTTACTTAATTTTATATTATTGTATTTTATCAAATATTCAAATATTAGTTATTTTCAACTGTTCAATTACTTCACAACAGATGACAAAATTAAAATTATTTGTTTCATGATAAAATTAAATTCTGTTGAAGTTAGCACATATTGTTTAGAGTAACACTTCTTCAGCTTATTAACTCTATGGAATTTCTTCACATTCGTGACAATGAGATTCAAAATGTCATTGGATAAATTATTTACGATAGCATTAAGCCTAGATGGACAGACTGATTGATTAACGCGACACTAACGACACATTGAGAAACTATACTTATTTCAGACTTGCAGTCGTATTGAAATTTGTTAATGAAACTGTAGAATTTCTGGAAAACAATTAGGCCAACGTTTCATTAAAATCAGATTTATGGCAAATTCAGTTTTTCGTTTTCTATTATTCCCAGTGCATATCAAAGAGTGTAAAATTACATTCTCTCAGTCAGTGTAAGAATCTCTAATAAGAACTAAAAGATTGATTTAAATTTAAAAATCGATTCTGAACTTAGAATGCCATTTTAAATCTCATTTTAACTTAATACAGTACTGATTTTATCAGTAACCTATATTAGATGTTTCTTAACACTGAAGACCAAGGAATGATACAAATTCAGATAAAACACTTATCTTGCTAACTGGATTTATCTGTGAAGAAATTTTCAGAAAAGTAATTATATCAAATAGCATTGTTAAATTTAGAAACTAAACCGAGATTCAGATTTTTCGTTGGAGATGCGGGGATATCCTTTGATTCTTATATAGGTTATTCGTATTTCTAACGGTAATCGACTGTGATTTAGTTAACTTACTTTAAATTATTCTTGACTTCCATCGCGATCAGTCGTAACCAAATAAAGAAAAAAATTACTGTTAACTTTCTTATATATTTGAATAACGTGAAAATTCCAATATTAAAGGCATTTTAAAAAATATCACAACCTTTGAATTTGCGTTTGCCTGTTTCCTAAGAATGATTATTATGCCGTAATGTTCGATAAAGTAATTCTCTCAAATAGCAATATCGCAATTAGAGCAATTGTTAAAATGTAAGTGATAAAAATTTTAAAACCTTACCTTCTTTCTTTCGATAAATAAAGTGAATGGTTATTCAGTATGCGTTGAGTCTTTTTATAATCTAATTAATAATGTTATTCATTTCGAAACATACAACGTAATTGTCCTTCAGGTGTGTTTATGAATTTGTTATTGTCTTTAATGTCCTACGCTCATCCTCCTGCATAATTACGTTGATGCAATGTTTTGTAAACATATATAAAATGCGCATACATTTTTTGAATTAAAATGTTTTAGAATGCTAAACTTTAAACTGTAATTCGTAACTTAAAAAAAACAACAGCTTCTGAATATCTGAAAATAGTATTGCATATACGTGTATTAATATATATAGAGAGAAGCATTGTTTTTACAAAATTCTCATTTTTTTGTAGTTATGTCAATATTATTATTTATTCGATTATTTATTCGATAACACAAATATAGAATTTCATATGAAGTTGTGCAAAATTCCTGAATATAAACCATTCTCAATATAATACAGTTTTCTATCCGAAAAAATGTTAAAACTTACTTTTTTATTTGAAAGTGATTTCAATTATTGTTGCTAGAAATTGAATACTTCGCATTCAAATTCAGTATAAATATTAAATCTTTAATCTAAATATTGGTAGACTTTTATTTATATTGTTATTCCATTCCATAAAAATTTCTTTAAATCCTTTTGAATTTGTTGTTTTTCTTCTTTGTAAGCTACTATATGATGCATATGATCAAAAGATACATTTTCAAATGATAGATATATTGAAAGAGAAATACAAACAAATAAACCGTAATTTGTTATTTTTTTCTTACAGACTATATTATTACTTTTGAAATTTAGTAATTTGACATTTGAAATTTAACTAATTTGAATTATAGTCTGAATGAATAAAGTACAATCGAACCTTTAATAATGGCCACCTCCCAACAACGGACACCTCTAAACAGCGGTCATTCTTTTCAGAAACTTTTTTTTAACAAAAATGCATACAAAATAACCTTCAATCGACTGCCAGCTTCGAACAACAGCCATTTTTTATGTTCTCGTTAGTGGCCACAGGATTGTCTGTATTATATAATCTATTTTTTTAATCTATAGTTTTCTTTATTAATAAAGCATCAACATACCTAAAAATCCGTCTTTTTTGTAAAGAAAACATAATTCATATAAGCTAAAAATAAAAAGTATTGTCGCTAGATAACTGATCTTTGTTTTCAAATGTCCGTTTAAAGTTTGTGACAATTTTTCTTTTGATTAAAATGCAAACGAAGGGTTCAATTCTTATAATTAATAAATTTAAAACTTAAGGTATAAACAAAAACAAGAAAACAATTTTTCTCGAACACAATTTCGTGCTCTTCCTCACCGGGAATTGCTTTAATTTAGTTTCGGTAACCAGGGAACTGTTGATTCTATCACATAGGTATAGATGTACTGTACGTCTACACGAATTTTCACGGTTCATTCAATTTATATATTTTAACCAAGCGAGTCTTCGAAGATAGGTCAACAACTCACATCGAATCATTTAATCTGCACAATATTACACCAATATTTATCAAAAAATCAATAATATGAGTTTGTCTCAAATTGTATGAAGTGATTAAAATGTTTTAAACATTCCAAATTAACATAAAAAAATAATAAAAGGATGATTTTCGGCATTTTATTTTGCTTGTTTTAAACGGGAAAACCTTTGTCTTTTCAAATAGATAATTATTAGAGTAGATTCTGCAAGCTAAAATATCTTTCATATTTCATTTGAATTCAGTTATAAAGCTTTAAATATGTCTATTAAATTTAATTTTTGACNTAAGGAATAATTTAAATGTACTGAATTATTCATTTTAAAAAGAATGCATTCTTGTAGAAAAGGAAAAGTCAAATATTATAATAAAATTTAATTTGCATGCCTACATTGTTTTATCCTATTAAGAAATATTCTTGATAAAAAATCTCTTAACCGTTTGACCTTTTACTTAATAGAATAAAGGAAATATCTGCATTTATCACTCTTGAAATCAACAAAATTTCACAAATTAAAAAATTAGGCCTCTAACTTTGTGTAAAACTGTAATATTTTTTTATTAAATATTTATTGAAACTTAAATAATTCTCTTTCGTTTTATTTATTTGTTATTTTTACAAACATAATTTAGATATTCTCTGTATACATATTACAATTTAAAAAATTAGATTTTATTTATATCATTACATTAATGTTAAACTATTTATTAATATAATAAATATTTATTTGATAAATATGCAATGCCTTCTAGTAATCGCATGTTCGTCGAGTTTTTTTTCTTTTTTTTAATATTATTTTTGGAATTTTTCCCGATCTTTTCTGGAAATATTCAATAGTAATTAGTTACTATTGTTATCTTTTATGTTTCGAACTAATATAAACTCATTATAACAATAAACGAGGAAGATAAAATCTTAACTGTAGTAGTCTAGACACAATTTTTGATAGATGGTTTACAATGATAATTTCTTATCATATAATGAAATTAAAGCCAGAAAAGTTTATATCATTCGTCTGTTAATTTTATACATAGATTTAAATATACACATAATTCAAAAATAGGAAAAAATTAAATAAAAATATATAGAAATTGTAGTTTTATGTTAAAATTTAAATAACAAAATACATATAATGTAAGTAAAATGTTAAAGAATTTATTTCAAAAATTTTACTTTAATTAAAATAATGAATAATGAATTATATTTAAATTTAAATAAATGATTACTTTTAACACAAAATTTTTCTTAATTGTGTCTAGATTTTATATATTTAAAAACATTAAATCTGAAATGGTTAATTTTACGCCAAATTTATTTCATAAATTGGAATGATTAAAGTTTTAAAATGTATTTTCGGAATATTTTTGTTTTCGTGCATTTATATAGTTTAAACAAAATCAATATTAAGATCAAAATAAAAATATTAAATGGAGATTTATTGTATATCGTGACAAAACTGCGTAATTTTAAATTAAAGCAACAAAACAATTAAGCGTTTTTTTTCAATTTTTAGTATAAAATATTTAATTAATTTTTTTTTAATTTAAATGAATTTAGAGCCAACAAAACACCTTTACTTTTAATAATATTTCGTAATAAAAAATGAATTTCTTATTTATTCATTTATATTATTTGAAGCAACCCGCTGTTTAGTAGAGAAAAAATTAATTAAACAAGATAAATATAGATAAAAAAAATTAATATATTTATCCGAGCATTTTATTTTATTTATTTATTTTTTGTATGAACATGAATATGTGATAGAAATGATTGAGAAACGTAAGACACGTGGAGAAAGAGAATAATGGCAGAGAAACACGTTAGAGGTTAATGAATAAAAATGTAGAACGAATGAAAACCGAAATAGAAATAAAATGTACAGATAAATTCCTGCTAGTCATGTCTACAAACGCCAAGTACAATATTTGTTATATTCAACAGTTGTTTGCGTGACCGAAATGCGTCACGCATCAAAGATACAGAGAGTGAACGTGTCATTTTTCCAGCTTTATTAATAATTATTTTCAATGCGCGCGCTCATTAACGAAAATAAATCAGAATTAAATTAAATACACAAAATATTTGACCGTTTGTGACTCGTACAGTACAATGCTATACACTTCATTGGCGTATCGAATAAATTGTAATATTTTAAAAACGGAATTGAGGATTAACGACGTTTTATACGCGCGAATAGAATTAATTTCGATAATTTTAACGAAATAATTTTTATAAATTTAAATTATTTTAAGGTACAAAATCATTTTTAATATAAAAATTATAAATACCCGCTAGAGGGTGAAAGTATATGGCATTGCATCGATCGTTTCGCAGATGCTCATCATCAATAGACGAGACGGATGTAAATTCTGTTTCGGATAGAAACCTGTTATTTCCTGGCATTTAATGGCGAAAATGACCACCTGACTAATTCATTATATATAAATAGAAGATTAAAACGAATTAATGACATGAATTCGTTCGGTAAATCCTATTTTGTAAGTAATGTTTCCAGTTTATTAATTAAAATCAAATACAATTATACCGATTTAAGCAAGTAATGTACAGTTCCTTTATATAGCATTATGAACGTAATATATAACCGTAATTGAATTACTTTTCGTTTTATCTTCCTTAGCAACAACGTAGCAAGGTTATGTTTTGAAGAAAACCGTGTTCTAAGAAACGTGTAAGTGGTTTCCGACTCTATCATTATGTATTACTTTACTTCAAATTCTTATCAATAAATAATTGCTTAAAATTAGAAATTTTAAATGAAATTTATATTATATTATATAATAACTATTTCATAACACGATATTTAATTTAAAATATTCTAAATACGTTATAATTGCAACATCCGGTTTTAGTGAAACACGTAGGGAAGTGTTGACCCAATACAATGTGTAGTTTTCCTTGAATATTGTTCTAATTCCTAGCTTAAAATCTTATCTATAAAATATACATATTACTGTGACATTAATGTCTTTTATTATGACACGAAAACTCCATAAAAACATCTGTTAGATAATTCCAGATAAATTGTAAGACTTTAGTCAACATAGAAAAAGATTTGTAATTTTAAAGTGTATTTATCTAAAATTTATCATTTATTTCTCTACAGATTTATAAAGCTTTTATTTTGTTTGAATTTTTTATTATTCAGCTTTATTTATTATTCAAAATGTTGCTTTTAAAAATATGACAAAATATCTTATAGAAAAATTCTTTTCTATAAGATACTTAAAAAACAGAAATAGAACTTTAAGTATGCAAATAATGTAAACATATTTTACTGACTAAAGAGGTTGGTATAATTGGTAAAATGAACTTTCTTTCTTTAGAATATGAGTCATTGGTTTTAGGTTTTATTTTTAATTTTGAATACTTAAAATGTTTTGTTTTAATGTGTTTTTATTATATGACAAATAGATGTTTGTAAAATAATTAGTTCACGCGAGGTTGTTATTATAAAAAAAAGTAATGTTTTATTTATGTTCTAAACATATTACAGCATATTTTATATTTTTTATTTACTTAAATGTTAATATAAATAAACAATATTAATATTCAAGACTGTATCCGATTTACAGGAACGAATGAATTGGCTGAGATGGTGGCTCTATTTCTTTTTGTCATCGCTACGGTCATAGGTTTGGTATTATTTGACCAGTACGTTCACGAGAATGTATACAGGGCACAATCGAGAATCTACGTGGAAGATGAAGGATTAGTTGAGAGAACATACATCAACACATCCATCTTTTCAGTTTTAGGTTTCAATCGTGATGAAATACGAACTTTCTCCGCTTTTCGTGATCACTTCCGAAATTATGCGGAAGTCAGCTCGGCCATGAGAAAAACTGGCATGGAATTAGTCAGGTTAATGGTGGGCATCGACTTCAGTGCTAGTAATGAATGGCAAGGCAGAAGGACGTTTAAGGGTGAATGTCTACACGCTTTAAAAGGAAGTAGCGTTTATAACCCTTACCAAAAAGTGATATACATTTTAGGACACGCATTGCAGCCTCTACTCCAGGGATATCCCATTGCCGCCTTTGGATTTTCGGATATGAAAGCTCGAGATCGAGACGTGTTTCCTTTGAAAGAATCTGGGGCACCTTGTGTAGATTTCGTAGATTTGTTGGAATGTTATACTTTCGCTGCCAGAAGGGTGAGTACCTTAATTAGTTAATTCATCTTGTTTAAATAGGTCAAGCGATGTTTATTCGCATTGATTATCTCTACATCTCGACACGGTTATTCTAATCGTATATAATCTACTGTCAAGTTAATTATTACGTAAATTAATTTATATTCTTTTGCACTAACATATTTGATGATTAGCATGAGCGTGTAGAATCATTAAATCTGAAAAATATTCAATATTTATACGAAGATAGATATAAATTCAACAATTTTTAACATTTTTATTATAGGCTTATATATTATTATAAATATTTTCAAATAGTCAGCCTATATTAAATCAAATCTCTGTTTATTGTTTCATGGATTAAAAAGTAAACACAAATAAAATAAGTATAAAATTTATATTTATTATTATATTACTTTGAAATACTGATAACGTTTTGCTTCTTATTATTTTACACGAACCTCCGACTTATGAAAACCATTCGAGAAAACGATGCAAAGATACATAAAGGATGGAATAAATTCCATTCATTCTGTATGCCACGCAATATTACATTCTATAGCTATGCATTAGAAAGAAATGTTTATATTGCATGATTAATCGTATATGTTAACATACACGTTAAATAACACCTCTTTTAAAAATATGATTAAGATTATTTTTATATAATAATTTTAAAACAATTTATAAAATTACATCATTAATTAGGAGAATCTCAAATGTCAAATCTAAAACGTAATAAAAAAAAAATATATATTTAACGGTATATATCATGAATTACTACGAACAATGAACTATCTCAGCCGTACGAATTTAAAATCATTTAGTAGATAAATATATTGAACCTAAAGTATAATCGATCGCTTTACTTTTGTGCGTGAGTAGCCTAGAATATTTTTGTTCAAAGCGAATCAAATTTGTAAAAGTTTGTCATCTTATACCAAGCTTATTCCCAATCGATTTTACGTTTCCTAAGAAAAGTACTCGTTGCCATTTCTAATTTTTATAAAATGAAAAAAAATAACATCGTAAAAAGGTAACTATTTCTTTTTATATCGTTCGATCGCCATTATTTATCTCATTTCTAAAATTAAATCCGCAAATATCTGTCATTACAGAAGGAAAAGAATATGCAATTGGAATATAAATTTATAATAAGTTTCGTATATTACGGCAATTCTATTTAATCTTCTGATTAATTTACTGCATTAAAATTAAAATGCATTTAATTATATTTATTTCTTTTTTTTTACATTTAGAAGAAATTGATAATAGGACAGAAATTTTAAAATCATTGTTATTCGGATCGATAGCTACTAATTAATAAAATAAAGATGCAAATTCATTTCATGCCACATTTGGAAAGAAAAAAGTGATTTGCGTTTTTAAATGTTATTTCATCTCCATTTGATAATTCAGAAATTAATTATTGTAAATACAGAACAATTTTAGCATTTCACTTTATAATTTTCTGATTCTATAGTTTTATCATTACAGAAAGTTACATTAATAATCGAAATTTATTAATGTGGAAGACAATAATAAATTTTTTCTCATTTATATAATAAAAAAAAAACAATTTTCTGGTTGGAATTAATTCAATCTATCTTCATATAATTTTTTTATATACTGTACTTTAATAGTGTATATATTTTAAAATAATCTGTATGATTAAGACTTGTGAATCTTTCACAACAATATAAACGTGTGCATTTTTTTTTATTTATAAACAATAAATTACATTAAAAAATGTTACAAAAATCATCATGAATATGAACCTTTATTTAACATTCGTTTATTCTGTTATGTAACTTTTCTAATTAACAATAACAGTTAAGCGTTAAAACTTATGACATTATATTAAGATAGATATTATTTGTAATTAAATTATGCGAAAATCAATATCATAATTTCAAAAACATCATTCGTAAAGATATGTTTTTTTGTATGGATTAACGTTAGAATTTAATTTTAAAAGGCATATTTTACTGTCTTTCATAGTTTTGACAGTGAAATATGAATGGATTCTACAATGGTTATAAATTAAAACAGAATATTAAATGGAAACATTATTATTTTTATCGATTTATCACATTTACAGGTACAGCTTAGCGGTCCAACCTGCTTCGATCCGATCATCAGAAGAGCCATGAAAATGGTGGAAAAGAGTAAAACCTTCCACGTACTGTTAATAATCACGGACGGCCAACTACGTCAAGACGACAAGAGAAGTCGACAGGCACTGATTGACGCATCGCACGTACCTCTAAGCATCATCACTATAGGAGTGGGAGACGGTCCCTGGTTGGTGATGGAAGATTGGGACGATCATCTGTCGGAGCGATGCTTCGATAATTTTCAATTCGTCTCCTTTCACCACGTTATCAGATCCGCTCGCAATCCCGAAGCGGCTCTCGCTCTCCACGCTTTGATGGAAATTCCAGACCAATATCAGACAATGATTGACTTGGGATACATTAGTTCTTAATTATCATCATATCGTCCGTAGGAATCGAGACACGTTGGCCTGTTTAAGTGCTTTAATGTTTTTTGACAATATTTTAGATTTGATGTTGCAATATGCCAAAGTTTTAATGTCTTACGACAATTGTTGAATATTGAAATATTTTAGAAGTGATCCAATCGTGAGATCTTATTTTACAGACATATATTTTCGATTAATGATTACAGATCTTCATATCAAACAAATGATGTAATTACTATACAACTATTTAGAACAAGGGCTGATGTATTTTGTTGCTCCTTCTACCTCGGTCAATGGTAATTATCTCTAAAGATCATTCCAGAAGTAAATGAAAGTAAAAAAATTTCTAGTTATTTATATTTTTATATAGCCTAACGAGTAAAAACTGTTAAAACTTGATAGATCGTATTGAGAGGAATTGTTTATAATTTAGATATAGACTACTGTTTGACATTTTAAGATTAAAAAGGCACTACAAATTGCACGTTCATTTGCTAGTTTTTCTTATACTGCCAAGTAAAATATACAGCATCAACAAGCTTAACAGCAAACTTATGTGGAAAAAAGTTAATATAATCGACAGTGATCATGATGCTAGTTAAAACATGGAAATAACCAATATTACCTTTTAATATAAAATGTATACGTAACGAAATTATTGATGTTTTTATAAATTAGTAAATATTGTACTTCCAATTGCTGGATTAAATATATATAGAGAGATTTATCTTTCGGGTAATGAAAATTACTTTTAAAAGTTCTGGTAAAAGAATAATAGACCTATAAAGGAGTAAGATGTATTTTATTTTTACTTTTAAAATTTCGAATCAATGTTGTAAATGGGCTGAAATGTTTATAGATGTGATTAACCATCGTTGATCAGTATTAATGTATTTTCAGATTCTTACACTGTTTTATCATTTTATGTGTAGGAATATTTATACAATTTACTAAAAATATTTTTTTTTTCAATCGACTTGTAATAAAAATTTTATTGTATTCTATTGTATTAATTTCCGTTTTAAAATTATCAATATATCGGAAGACTTCATCCCAATTTATAAATGATAGTTTTGAACCATCGACGTAACATTTCCTAAAATCCTCGCAAGATAATTTACTGGTTTCCTTAACATTACTGCCAAAAAAGAAAAAACAGGCCTATTAGTTAACTCTAAACGCACAGTGAGTTGTTGACCTTCTTTTTCTTAGGCGTCAGAATGTTTCATCGAGCTATTCGGACTTCAATACCTAATATTGATCGTGGGCCACATAAATTCATTAGACGGACTGGATCTGGTCCGCGGGCCGTATGTTGGCCATGCCTGAGTTAACAAATAATTTCAGATAGTTAAACAATTATAAAGTAAAATAATATTTAACAAATATAGTTTTTAAGACCTCGTATATTATGACATACACAAATATAATTTACAAATACATTTGTATAAACTTTTGTATTTTTAAATATATCGGTATCATATTCAAAAAGAAAAGAATAGAGTAAGGTCACTTTTGCAATTTTGCCTTATTTTAATATAGTACTGTACAGCAATGGCGCCTTATCCTGTGGGTAAAAGGGGCAATTGCCTGGACCCCCTACCAACAGGGAGCCCCAAACCAATCTTTTATAAACTGTATCGAAATTTAAATTTGGGCCATATCTGAGGACCCAAGATTGCCGGTGTGGTGTAGGGTGCACTGGTACAGTGCATACATAGGTCGCGTTAAAAAATAAACGAGGATTCCCCAAAAATTTTCCCGAAAAAAATATTTGAAGTCAACGCTATACATGGGACTCCCTAATTCAAATTTGCCTGGGCCCCATGAATCTATAAAGCGCTACTGCTATACAGACACTCCTCGACTTACGATATTTCACATATACGATGGCGAGTGAAACGAAAGCGCGAAAGAATTAGAACTTGAATTCAAGCAGTTCGCGGCTTGTTGCATCCTCAGTCTGGAAGCGTATTTTAGAAGTAATCGATAGCCCTGTCGCCACAGCATCATCCAGCAACTGATATTCCACCATCATCTTTAATTTTTTAAAGGTTTTATGATAAAACTTTTGCATTATTTGCATGCTTTTTTGATGGATGTTACTATATTTGAAAGATTACTGTGTGTAACATTAGTGTAAAATACTTCTGAATATTTTATTTTGTTTCATTCATTTTTTCTTTCTTTTTTTTCTGTACACTTTACGATCCAATATGCAACGTTACGTACTGTATAACCTTGCATATAGCCTTTTTTATTTACAGTATTTATTTTTGACTTACGATGTGTTCTTTGGAACATAACCCTATCGTAAGTCAAGGAGAGACTACTATGAAAATATATTTTCATTTGAAATAACCGACTTTGAAATGTTATTCATACATTATTTAAGAAAGTCAGAAATGTTTTGAAAAGGAGATAAAAACCTTTACAAAGTGCGTACTCTTTATCTTCTCTATTTCTAAGAGTATGTGCCCTTTATAAATGGTTCCTAAGCCGTAACTGTACTTGTCCATTGGTTTTTATGATGCTGTTAGGTGATAGTATGGAAAATAATTTTCAGATAACTTACTTTACTTCTTTTACATTAAATAAAGTGCTTTACAACAATCTAATTTTCCAAGATTTTTTTAAATTACTAAATCAGAAAATTTGGGCGAATCCTGATGAAATAATTTGATTACTGTTTTATAAAACATGATTTTTTGGTGTGGTTAAGTTGCTGGTTTGAGAGAAGAGGCAAGTTAATAAACAATTATTGAAATTATGGGTTTTATTGATTTCAATTAAGATAAATACTTTACATCAAAAGAAAATTCTTGAGATGAACTGGCGTAGAAACAAATAGCAATCAAATATTTTGAAATTCGAATTTGTAGAGTTACCGGGCATAGTAATGCTTTCTTCAACTTCAAAATTTTCTTTTGTAAAAAATAGTTTTCTATTTCTTTTCTCTTAAAACTTTCTATTTTTGCAGTAGAAATAAAATAAGCGTAGACTTAACACTTTTTCAATGACGTTTAAGAGCATGCATCATTGATAGCTTTGAGAGTACGTACTTGCACTGTACATACTCTTGAAAACCCAATTCGTGCGTACTCTTGAAAGCGTCTGTCTTAATTGAAGAAAAAAAAATCATATTTAGCAGCACAATCCAAGCATGGTCTAACACAGAGGCCACCAAACTTTTTCGACAGTGAAACAGATAACTGAATGACGAGCGCGGGCCGCATAACAATTTTGTTCAATACAGTATGCTGAATACACAAAAAATAAAGACAACCAATATATTTATTTAGCAATACACAAACACGATCGTTGCAGCAAGCTCGTAATCTCTTTTCTTAGAAACTTCATTGCAGGTACTTACACAAAAAGCGCTCTGATATCCAAAGTCGCCGAATTTTTTATTTCACTGCTTTTCCTAAATATTATATTACTGTCGGGTGCATAAATCAGATTCGAACAATTTTGGCATTTTTAGTTACGCTTATTTTAATTTTTCTACATAGTAAGTTAGTACGGCGGTGGGTCGGATGAACTGACCTCGTGGGCTGTAGTTTGGTGACCTTTGGTCTAGTAAATCCCACCAAAACTTAACTAAGTAGCTTTACATTCTAGCAACGAAAATAATAAATAATAAAGAAGACCAAGGAATAATAACAAAAAACTAATAAATAAAACCATCACCCTTGATTTAAAGATCGGAGAATTCATTATTTCAAAGTATAAAATATTTATTTCGGAAGAAGGTTGAAAATTTCGTTTAACTATTAACATCACAAGGTTAAATTTAACATTTACAATTTTATAGAAACTCAATCTTCCTCCATAAGCTTTGTATAGAACCAATAAAACAATCAGTATTGCCAGTATCGAGAAAATTAAAATTCGTACTTTTACATGAGCTTACCCTATACTGTAATTGGGCTGCAATTAAAAAAAAAATTGTAGACCTATAAATTCCCACTGTCGTCCGTTCGGCTGTCTGTCCTTCCTTAATCTCGGGAACAGAGTTAGATAAAAGCCGAGACCAGATATGGAAAGCTTAGGGGCAGGGGCAGGAGGCCCCAATTAATAACTATATATGAACTTCTGATGCAAACTTGAAGTCATGTTATTTCAATTCAAACATTTTTCCCCGAAACCTGTTAGATAGATGACTGGCACGACTCTATTGTTAAAAGAAAAGTATGATGTACAGGGGCAAGCCGCTACTAATTTGAGGTGGAGAGCATATATTTTAAATTAAATAAATTTAAAATATGATTAAAAATTGCAGCCTAGCATTGTGACGATGTCACAATAAATAATTGCTCATATAATAATAAATTATTTTTAAGGATTAAAATTTTGAAAGTCTTCTTTCTCGTATTTTCCCAAATTAATATTATTCTTTAAATTAAAAATAATAAATAAGAGACCATTCAGATATTACATCAGGAGTTTATGGAGAGAGAGGGATTCGTTTGTATCTGATGATGTGTAAGGGAAGATGAGTCTTTGATGACATAAGATTGCACCCGTCGTTTATTTTTCTCCCAAGTCATAAAATTGAAAATAATTCCCATATATTTGCGATTCGTTTGAACTTCTGGCCTGATGACAATTAGCAGGAGAAGGTACAGTATCTTAATTTCTGATGACTGGTGTCGAAGGAGCATGGTGAAAAAGAGCAAACTTTTACTCGAATAGTCCTTAATAAGAAAATTCGTTAAGTTTAATTTTTTGGTAAATATTTCAATATCTTCACTAAATGATGATTCTTTCTTAATTTATAAAAAAGCTTAACCGAAAATACAAATAAACGAATTCATATTTCTTGATTGAGAGGAGATCCTCATAAGTCGAAAAGCCTTTTCTCTCTGTGATGGAATTTTAAAGCAATCGCACGACCATTAAATGTGATTTTTTGCAAATATGTACGTACAACTAGACAAAGATGATGTCGTGAAGCTGGTATTTTAAAATTCGATTTATGGGATGATATATTCCAGGTCACATTTCGCCATGTAAACTCTACGGGCGGGTTGTCGCGCGCTACATCTGAATTGAGTTTATGATTGCTGTTAATTTACATTGCTCTCTACGGACAACTTTTTATTTTGTTCTTTACGACGGACAATTAACACGCAAAATGTCGTGACGAAATTAAGTTTTGAAAACTTGCACGTCCTGAAATTGCACATATGCGTGTTTTAACAGATCTCTGCAGTTGGTAGTACGAGTAACGTTTCCACCATAATAACAATAATAATTTACTTTCAGCATTTTAATAACAATATTATGACTTATTTGCGTAGAAATAATTAATTATTAATTCATCTTTCAGGTATTTCAGTATTAGTCGTTAGTGCAGGGTATCATAACTGATCATTTTTACCGGCATTATTTAAAATGAGAAAAAATCAATTGAAACATTATCTTTAAATCTAACGATTTTAAGGAAATTAGATTATTAATTATTAAATTCTAACATCAGAAATCTTTGTCTTAGAAACTATTTTAACGATTTTAAATATTTGTATACGATTTTTTACGTCTGTGACAACACATCAGTATTAGATGTTGTTTTTCTCATATCCAAAAATGTTTTGCCATTCACTAAAAACTCAAAAGCAGCAAATTTCGTTAAACGGAAGAGTAGTGTATCGATGTGACCAGAAGAATCACTGTCAGTGGCACGTTCGTGCTCAAAGTATTCAAATTCAAGCACGCTCGATTCTTCCTTCCTTACTACAAATAAGGCAAGGGAGTAACTAAAAGAATAAAAATCTTTTAACTGAATCATTTATATCCATGGAAATTATAAAAGAAAATTTTGTAACAAAGATTGCTTACCTCTATTTAAGCAAAGCATTCTAGAAAGTATTGCAAACTTAGCGAAATAGATCACTCTTTTCAAAATTTTGAAAAACATTTCTTTAATTATCACATACGTTTCAAAATTATTAGGAAAGAATGTACTATTACCGAAAGCATTGCAAAAAGATAATCTGTCGTTGCCAGAATTGTGAGAACTTTACAGCTTTAATTAGCAGAAAAACTACAACTAATATGCTACTTGTTGCGATTTAATGAAGCGCGCTTACAGATAAATTGATAACGATTATCAATAGATAGACGAGAATAGATGACGAGGATATCAATGAAAAAATTTTTAAATTCTGAAACACTATGTTTTAGCTTGCTTGTTAAGTTATGGCAACGCAACACTTGGACGATCTGCCTAGGCGGATGCCTTCCGGGAGGTCTTTTTAAGGGTAACTGGCCCTATTCAGGCGTTACAGACATGGAGAAAACCCGGAAAACTCCATATGACCAATCCGTCCTAGAGAAGCGCGAACCCACCACCGAACTCCCAGTGTTTAGAGAACGAAATCTCTTGGGCACTGGTAGGCCCTATGTTTTAGCAATTTGAAATTTTTTAGAACGAATTACAGTGGTTTAATGTGTCACAAATTAGTTCCGACATCTTTAACAACTCAAACCTTTATCAGAAAAATTGTTTGTCTTGAGTTTTTGGCTGTCTAAGCAGCCATCTTAACTACATATACAGTATAATAAATGATGTTAAAATTGTTTATATATATGATTATATTCATTGAGATATAAAAAGAGATTTAAAAGTCATACCATATCTTTTATATTCGTAATTTTTAATCCGAAATGGTTATAGCCGTCCGTTTTATCCGAATTAGCATCAATTCACATTAACCTCGAATAATTGTGTTCTACGCTAAATATTTTCTACCAAGTTTTGTTTTTGTTAGAATAAATTTTAATTATACTTTTAAATTCGCTTAATATACTTTTAACACATCTTATCACTTTTTATTATAACACTATATATTATTACTTATATATTAAATATTTTTGTTTGAATATATTTTATTATTATTCAATAGAATTGTTTTAATTATTTTCACTCTTCGAAGCTGTTATAACAGGGGGAAAGTATGACGATCATTCAAAAAATTACTTTCCAAGATTTTTACATTTTTTACTCAGGACATCTTGAAACGTGTTTGACTGTAATTTATAAAATAATATAACGTTCTATGTATTATTCCTTAGTGCAATTAAGAGGTTTTTTAAACTTTTTCCGCCCTGTGAACACTAAGAGGGCCTCTTTTAGCAAACCCACAATCGGGCGGCCGGGTGATGAGGGACGGGGCCCGACATATCCAGACAGACCCCTTCGGAAAATTCCTAGGGATTTTTCAATCCGTTCAGATTCGAACCCGGGTCTCCCAGAGCGGTAGGCTGCCACCTTAACCGCTCGGCCATCCAGTCGTCCAATTAAGAGGTTAATCGAGATATGCGTTACGGAATTTTGGGCTCTTAACAGAGGGTAATTGTTACTTTGTGAGAATCATTTTTAGATCACTAATTTTTTCTCTTTTTGAATAATTTGTGCATCTTGACTCGATTTGAAATAAATACAACGCTAATATTTTCATTTTAACAGTAATTTATTATATTACATTGCTTTTTACTAAAATATTTTAAAACTTATATTTAACAATTTAAATATATAATATTAAAAAATATTTCAATTATATACTTTTAAAGATATAGTATACTTTTATATAAACATACTTTTATTAAGTACAATTATTTTTATTTTTAATTTAATGCTTTAAACAACAACAAAATAACTTTGCTTAATATAATACCAGAAAAATCCATTACAGTTTTTAGAATATTCTGACAAAATAAATTTTTCTCAAATTCAGTAAAGTAAATATAAATTTATGGTTCTTCATTTAATTTTTCCAGGAAGATATAAATGTAACTGCCTTCCAGTTGCTATAAAATATTTTTATTATTACTTACTTTGAAATTATATAATGCATAAATATTTTATTGCTAACAAACTTTATTGTATTATAATTAATGTTAATTTGTTGATTGAGGTACTGGTACATTTCAAAAATTTTACTGTCGAAATAAATAGTCTGCACTGCATCAAAATTAATCTGAATCAATAATTAAATACTAACATTTCTAGTTTCTCAAAAATGTTATATCATTAGATATTTCAAATTTATAAAAATTCACTGCAATCTCATCACATTGTTTTGAATATGTTATAATATTCAAAACAATGTGATGAGATTGCAGTTATATATCTAAGTGTAATTAAGATGCAGCTGAAGGAATCAGTGCCAAAACGTGACAAAGATAAAAGAAACAAGCAATTATTTAGCGTAAACCGTCACAATGCCTGGCTGTTTTTATTTGTTTAATTTAAAATATATGCTCTCCTCCTCAAATTAGTAGTGGCTAGCCCCTGTACATCATACTTTTCCTGTTAGCAATAGACTCGTGCCTGTCATTGATTTTCTTTCAGAGGAAAATTTTTGAACTGAAATAATATGACTTCTGGTTTGAATCGGAAGTTCGTACAGAAGAATCTCGTTTTAACGGATCGCGGAACAACGGATTTCTCGGAATAACAAATTTTTTTTTCAGGTCCCCACCAAATCAATGTAATTTTACCTCCTTTTAGCAGATTCGTTATTCGAAATAACGGATTTTTCTACCCAAATCTATTGTAAACTTTGAGTTTTTTCAACGTTTCGTTAATATTTGGGATATTTGTTTCTGGAAATTTGTAGTTTGATGATGCACTTGTTACATTTGAGATATGTACTGTACAATTGAAAAATTGTATAAAGAGAGTCAGCCGGCTGATACGATTGAGGAGGAAGTCGCCTAGTGAACACAGTCTCTGGTCCAAGTGTAGTGCCTAAATTTAGCGAAGACATCGAGTTTTTCCAAGTCGTGAAGACGAATTTCAGCACAAACGAACAGTCTTTACTGTGCATGACATTGCTAATATCAAGCGGTATTAGATTCAATAGACAGAAAAGCGGCATCGAAAGAAACCAAGATGGACGAGTTTTTTAACAAATCGTGAAGTCAAGCAAAGTGCAAATTATCACATGTAATTTGCCTCGCTTTATGTTTATAGTATGTACGGTTGTCGTCAGTTTCGTCGTACACACATATGACATAATATACACGTACGTTATAAACATACGTGTTTCTACAGGATAAAGCACTGGTTCTCAAACTTATTTCGACCACCGCCGCTACTTTGAGATTAAAAAAAAATCTAGTGGCCCCATATTTTTTAACTTACCTTTTTACATTACTATCTGTTGCGTATCTTAAAAATAGTTATTGCAAATATAATGTTTAAACATTATTATATTATGGATAGGATAGATAGGGTGTGACCCATAAACTATTTCTGAGATCAAAAAATGCTTCAATAAGAAATAAAACTCATATTTAATCATTGAGACTTCTACTGGCCCCCTGAAAGCCTCCAGCGCTCACAAGGGGCGTTATCGCCCACTTTGAGAAAGGATGAAATAAAGAATAGAGATCTAAAGAGACTGAATAATTTCAAATACTGATATTTCTTATATATAGGAATTAAAAAAACGGAATTTTTTTCTAATAAAGGATATTTTCCTGTGTGCGCTAGAAATATAATNACTCGTAGCCTTGCCTTAGTTTATAGTTACTTCTTTCATCAAATATTCCTTAACAATTTATTACAATGTTTATCTAAAGTATTAACTAGTACATTTATTTTTATTTATTATTTTATCGCCCACTTTGAGAAAGGATGAAATAAAGAATAGAGATCTAAAGAGACTGAATAATTTCAAATACTGATATTTCTTATATATAGGAATTAAAAAAACGGAATTTTTTTCTAATAAAGGATATTTTCCTGTGTGCGCTAGAAATCTAATATGATATAATGGATTTTCGGCGGCCAGAGCGATCCGTTAAAACGAGATTCTTCTGTATATAATTAATTGGGGCCTCGTGCCCCGAAGCTTTTCATATCTAATCTCGGCTTTCATCCATCTAACTCCATTCTCGAGATTAAGGAAAGAGACAGACAGNATAAACATACTTTTATTAAGTACAATTATTTTTATTTTTAATTTAATGCTTTAAACAACAACAAAATAACTTTGCTTAATATAATACCAGAAAAATCCATTACAGTTTTTAGAATATTCTGACAAAATAAATTTTTCTCAAATTCAGTAAAGTAAATATAAATTTATGGTTCTTCATTTAATTTTTCCAGGAAGATATAAATGTAACTGCCTTCCAGTTGCTATAAAATATTTTTATTATTACTTACTTTGAAATTATATAATGCATAAATATTTTATTGCTAACAAACTTTATTGTATTATAATTAATGTTAATTTGTTGATTGAGGTACTGGTACATTTCAAAAATTTTACTGTCGAAATAAATAGTCTGCACTGCATCAAAATTAATCTGAATCAATAATTAAATACTAACATTTCTAGTTTCTCAAAAATGTTATATCATTAGATATTTCAAATTTATAAAAATTCACTGCAATCTCATCACATTGTTTTGAATATGTTATAATATTCAAAACAATGTGATGAGATTGCAGTTATATATCTAAGTGTAATTAAGATGCAGCTGAAGGAATCAGTGCCAAAACGTGACAAAGATAAAAGAAACAAGCAATTATTTAGCGTAAACCGTCACAATGCCTGGCTGTTTTTATTTGTTTAATTTAAAATATATGCTCTCCTCCTCAAATTAGTAGTGGCTAGCCCCTGTACATCATACTTTTCCTGTTAGCAATAGACTCGTGCCTGTCATTGATTTTCTTTCAGAGGAAAATTTTTGAACTGAAATAATATGACTTCTGGTTTGAATCGGAAGTTCGTACAGAAGAATCTCGTTTTAACGGATCGCGGAACAACGGATTTCTCGGAATAACAAATTTTTTTTCAGGTCCCCACCAAATCAATGTAATTTTACCTCCTTTTAACAGATTCGTTATTCGAAATAACGGATTTTTCTACCCAAATCTATTGTAAACTTTGAGTTTTTTCAACGTTTCGTTAATATTTGGGATATTTGTTTCTGGAAATTTGTAGTTTGATGATGCACTTGTTACATTTGAGATATGTACTGTACAATTGAAAAATTGTATAAAGAGAGTCAGCCGGCTGATACGATTGAGGAGGAAGTCGCCTAGTGAACACAGTCTCTGGTCCAAGTGTAGTGCCTAAATTTAGCGAAGACATCGAGTTTTTCCAAGTCGTGAAGACGAATTTCAGCACAAACGAACAGTCTTTACTGTGCATGACATTGCTAATATCAAGCGGTATTAGATTCAATAGACAGAAAAGCGGCATCGAAAGAAACCAAGATGGACGAGTTTTTTAACAAATCGTGAAGTCAAGCAAAGTGCAAATTATCACATGTAATTTGCCTCGCTTTATGTTTATAGTATGTACGGTTGTCGTCAGTTTCGTCGTACACACATATGACATAATATACACGTACGTTATAAACATACGTGTTTCTACAGGATAAAGCACTGGTTCTCAAACTTATTTCGACCACCGCCGCTACTTTGAGATTAAAAAAAATCTAGTGGCCCCATATTTTTTAACTTACCTTTTTACATTACTATCTGTTGCGTATCTTAAAAATAGTTATTGCAAATATAATGTTTAAACATTATTATATTATGGATAGGATAGATAGGGTGTGACCCATAAACTATTTCTGAGATCAAAAAATGCTTCAATAAGAAATAAAACTCATATTTAATCATTCAGACTTCTACTGGCCCCCTGAAAGCCTCCAGCGCTCACAAGGGGCGTTATCGCCCACTTTGAGAAAGGATGAAATAAAGAATAGAGATCTAAAGAGACTGAATAATTTCAAATACTGATATTTCTTATATATAGGAATTAAAAAAACGGAATTTTTTTCTAATAAAGGATATTTTCCTGTGTGCGCTAGAAATCTAATATGATATAATGGATTTTCGGCGGCCAGAGCGATCCGTTAAAACGAGATTCTTCTGTATATAATTAATTGGGGCCTCGTGCCCCGAAGCTTTTCATATCTAATCTCGGCTTTCATCCATCTAACTCCATTCTCGAGATTAAGGAAAGAGACAGACAGTGAGACTTTATGGGGCTACAATTTCAAACTACAGTCCAAAAAGCACATATATTATTATATCATATTTTTTATTTTAATAAATGTATTTCTATATACTGTATCTGGTTTATTTTGTGATTTTATTCTTTTCATTTAAAAACATTCCAAGAAGGAGCTGGTGACCACCTCACCTGACTGGAAAAGGGTTATGTGGAACAAAAAATGTTCCGATAAACAAAAATCAATTGTAAAAGAAAGTGGGTGATAATAAAAACGCATCAAACACCCAGAAATAAAAAATTATGAAACAGTCATTAATTAATTTATTCCTTTTTCTTTCTTTTTTTCAATCTGTCTTATTAATGTCAAGTTAGTCAGAGGAACCATGAATAATGCATACTGGAAATTTTCAAAACGAGATATAGCCTGTCTAGTGTAAATTCCAAAACTTGTGTAACTTATTTTCAAATACAAAACAAAAGCATTTTATTGGCTAAACTTAAACAATCCAACACAATTTTGTTATAATTCTTTTATTTTGCTCCAAGTCAATTACCATAATCTAAAAGTGATTAATCATGAGAGGCAAATAGCATTGAATAAAAAATATTGATTTTTGTACAAATAATTGAAATTGTACAAGTCATGTTTTGGCAATAAGCTCTTCATTATTTATTTTGTATGATCAAATAACAAATACATACACATACACATATATATATTATAATCATACAAAATTAAATTTCTTTTAAAAGAGAAAATGTATTTATAGTTAAAACTTTTCAAAAATATTTACATTTAGATAAAACAGCATCTAAAAGCTGTAATTTAAAAAAAGTCTAGGTAAACTAATAACCTAAACTGGAAAATTTTGTATTAATATAAATAACTGTTTTATTTAAAATTATATAATTTCGAGTAAATAAAAAATAATTTTATATTGTATACTTACCCCAAAAAAATAAAGTAATTATTATAGCAAAAATTGCTATAACTAAACTTTGTTTTACAGTGTAGTTTTGTGCATTTTCAGACTTAATTGAAGAACCTGTAAAATTAATATTAATATATATACATTGATTTCCAAATTTTCTGTAACTATGCCACCTTCAAAACATATTTTGATAATCTTGTCAATGATTTTTAAACAATAAAAGTTCCTCACTAATTAAACTCATCTTTATTTTGAAAACATAATACAAAAGGCTATAAACAAATACCTCATAATTCTAGCAAATCTCAACATTACCTTATGACTTCAATGTCATAAGGTAATGTTGAGATTTGCTAGAATTAAAATTACAGATTTATGGTTACACATTGAATTTTATCATTAATTCCTACAATATCATTATGCTTTTGTAGACCTGCCAACTAAGTTTTTTAATACTGAGGGACAGGACATGTGAAATGTAAGGCAAAATAAATATTTCAATGGACAAACATAATTTCAATATTTAAATCATTAAAATATTCTAGTTACAATATATGTATATTGCCTAATAATACAATATATGTGCATTGCCTAATAATACAATATATCTGCATTGTGTAATAATGTAGCTTTAATACGTCTGGATAAGCAAGCCAATGATATAGTGTGTTTCATTCAAAATGAAGTTCATTAAGATTAAACAGAACATGCTCAGTAAATAATTAACTTATCACACTACACTTTTATTTTGCTGAGATAGTTTTATTGAAAAACTAACGTTTTCAGCCTACTCTATAGGCCATCTTCAGGCTTAACTTGTTAATAAATTGTTAAGGAATATTTGATGAACGTAGTTTTTGCCTTAGTTTATAGTTACAATGGTACCTCAGGATACGAAATTAATCCGTTCCGAAACTGAGATCGTATCATGAAAATGTCGTAAGGTGGATCATCTTTTCCCATACGATTNGTGTGCGCTAGAAATCTAATATGATATAATGGATTTTCGGCGGCCAGAGCGATCCGTTAAAACGAGATTCTTCTGTATATAATTAATTGGGGCCTCGTGCCCCGAAGCTTTTCATATCTAATCTCGGCTTTCATCCATCTAACTCCATTCTCGAGATTAAGGAAAGAGACAGACAGTGAGACTTTATGGGGCTACAATTTCAAACTACAGTCCAAAAAGCACATATATTATTATATCATATTTTTTATTTTAATAAATGTATTTCTATATACTGTATCTGGTTTATTTTGTGATTTTATTCTTTTCATTTAAAAACATTCCAAGAAGGAGCTGGTGACCACCTCACCTGACTGGAAAAGGGTTATGTGGAACAAAAAATGTTCCGATAAACAAAAATCAATTGTAAAAGAAAGTGGGTGATAATAAAAACGCATCAAACACCCATAAGAAATAAAAAATTATAAAACAGTCATTAATTAATTTATTCCTTTTTCTTTCTTTTTTTCAATCTGTCTTATTAATGTCAAGTTAGTCAGAGGAACCATGAATAATGCATACTGGAAATTTTCAAAACGAGATATAGCCTGTCTAGTGTAAATTCCAAAACTTGTGTAACTTATTTTCAAATACAAAACAAAAGCATTTTATTGGCTAAACTTAAACAATCCAACACAATTTTGTTATAATTCTTTTATTTTGCTCCAAGTCAATTACCATAATCTAAAAGTGATTAATCATGAGAGGCAAATAGCATTGAATAAAAAATATTGATTTTTGTACAAATAATTGAAATTGTACAAGTCATGTTTTGGCAATAAGCTCTTCATTATTTATTTTGTATGATCAAATAACAAATACATACACATACACATATATATATTTTAATATAATACCAGAAAAATCCATTACAGTTTTTAGAATATTCTGACAAAATAAATTTTTCTCAAATTCAGTAAAGTAAATATAAATTTATGGTTCTTCATTTAATTTTTCCAGGAAGATATAAATGTAACTGCCTTCCAGTTGCTATAAAATATTTTTATTATTACTTACTTTGAAATTATATAATGCATAAATATTTTATTGCTAACAAACTTTATTGTATTATAATTAATGTTAATTTGTTGATTGAGGTACTGGTACATTTCAAAAATTTTACTGTCGAAATAAATAGTCTGCACTGCATCAAAATTAATCTGAATCAATAATTAAATACTAACATTTCTAGTTTCTCAAAAATGTTATATCATTAGATATTTCAAATTTATAAAAATTCACTGCAATCTCATCACATTGTTTTGAATATGTTATAATATTCAAAACAATGTGATGAGATTGCAGTTATATATCTAAGTGTAATTAAGATGCAGCTGAAGGAATCAGTGCCAAAACGTGACAAAGATAAAAGAAACAAGCAATTATTTAGCGTAAACCGTCACAATGCCTGGCTGTTTTTATTTGTTTAATTTAAAATATATGCTCTCCTCCTCAAATTAGTAGTGGCTAGCCCCTGTACATCATACTTTTCCTGTTAGCAATAGACTCGTGCCTGTCATTGATTTTCTTTCAGAAGAAAATTTTTGAACTGAAATAATATGACTTCTGGTTTGAATCGGAAGTTCGTACAGAAGAATCTCGTTTTAACGGATCGCGGAACAACGGATTTCTCGGAATAACAAATTTTTTTTCAGGTCCCCACCAAATCAATGTAATTTTACCTCCTTTTAACAGATTCGTTATTCGAAATAACGGATTTTTCTACCCAAATCTATTGTAAACTTTGAGTTTTTTCNCAACACAGAATTCATATAACACAGGATTATCTACAGTGTTATAGGAGGGTCTACTGTATTTAAACTAAAAACAGAACTACTTTATTTAGAGAATTAACACATACATGTTCAGAACTAAGCACTTTCAGAGTTGCACTCCATCCTCAGGATTCACTACTCTCTAAAAACAGTTTTTAGAAGTCCAATTAGCAGTGGTTGTAGTATCAAAGCACAAAAACAAAATTGAACATTCCTGGACCTTTCAAACATTTTTAACCAAAACAATCAAATTAAACATTAGTGAAACATTCAATCATCAACTAACTGAAAATAAATTAAACATTCTAAACAGACAATCCATTTCAGATGTCTAACTAACCTTTAGTGCTCTCTCAGGAAATTTTAACATTTTACAACTTAAATACAGGACTTCAAAAAGCACTGTTACTTCTTACCTAAAACCCAACTTCATACCTTTGAAAAACTATTTATATCCTTACATTAAAGAATAATATTTAAAAATACTACTCTTTAATGTAAGGACAGTAATGGACCTGATAATGGAGCACATCACTTACTACTATGTCAAAAAATATTTATATTTTACTTGATGTATTCAATTTTATATTAGAAACAATAAAAAGATGTTTTATTTTGTGTTAATCAAATAAAAAAGAATCTGATCTTTTTTTAAGTTTATTCACTTATTTTTAGAGATTTTTATGTTACAAAACACAAAACTACAAAAATTTCTAAACTCTTTAAAAGCAACACTTTTAAATAATTGCAATTTGATTAGTTCTTAAACATTTTTTAATACTTTGTGCAATTCTTTAGTGTGGTCTATAAATTGCATCTGCATTTTTCTTGAAATTTTTACTTCCCCTCCTTCTCTTGTCCCAGTTTGCCCAAGTTTCTGTAACCCCTCCCCTTTTTGGACATCTAACAATACTCGACCCCTCTTAAAATCTTTATCACTTTATGAATGATAGATACCATAAGCAGAAACAAAACATACAAGAAATTCTGAAATAAATATTAAAAAAATACATAAACTGTATAAAATTTAATGAAATAAACTGACATCCACTGAAGCTCAATCCCTCTCTTCCCCCTTGGCCAAGTTTGTCCAACTTGTAATAATCCCCTCCCTCCCTTCCAGTATGGATGTTATTTATGAACAGCCCCTTACATTGATTACTCAGAAAATAAACTTCATCCCTTTTGTTCCTTTCTTACAAAGAGAATAAAATTTATTTTCTGGGGATCAACTAGAAGTATATTTCTATCCCTTTAGAAAGATATCAATTTTATTTCCAACTTCACCTTAATCATGATGTATAGTACTACATTAGTGTCTAGCATTAAAATCAATCATTGCAAAAGAAATAAACATTTTTGAATTCTACATATAATGTTGCAACAAATTTTTTCAATAAAAATAAGCAAATCCACTTTAAAAGCAAACTATTATACTTAAGATCATGGGTGCTGCAGAAAATTTTCCAGCCAGAAAGCTTGGAGACTAATTACATCAATAAATTTTTTTAATTATTTAATTTTTTAGGATGTTTAAGACAAACAAGAAATTTTAAGATCAATAAAATATCCTATGGTCAAGGATATAAAGTTACATATCACAATCACTTTTATGGTTATAATTTTTGGAATTTTTACTCAATCCCAGGGAAAGGTGCAAGTGCCCCATTTGCTCCCTCTGCAGATACCCATGCTTAAGATCCAATCTACTTTATTTTATATGAATTATGAATATTTCTAGTATACAAAGATTTATAACAACATATTTTATAAATATTATTCTACTTCAACTTTAAAATACATAGACATAGACATAGACATATATTTTATTTGAACACATTGTGTACAATGTATCTGGGTGCCACAACAGGTACAACCCAGTACTATCCCGAGTGAATGATACAAATTACATATACAGTTGTTTAATTAATACGTGGTAAATGGAGTAAAGGAGGTTAAATACTAGAATAGAAATTAGTTAGTAACAAAATATACAAAATACAAAAGATTAGTTATATAGAAATAGTTACATAGAAATTGTTACAATAATATAAAATAGTATTGAGGGAAATTAAACACAAATGATATAATACATAAATTCACATACAGATATTTAAGCACAGTCACAGAGTGAATCTCAGGTGAAATAAAAATAATATTCACAGTAGAATAGATATAAATACAAATATAGGTACAAATATACAGGCACTAAATGTATGCGTATAGACAAATACAGACACCAAAAACAAGCAGGGACACCAATTACAGAGTCAAAGAATGTGGATAGAATGGGAACTAGTTGTAGACACTTACAGTACTCCTTACAAAATAAT